GCAACCCACTGCGCTACACAGTGCTCATGGGACACGGCATGTGCGCGGGGCTAGTGGCTGCCGCCTGCACCTGTGGCTTCACTGTCTCCCTGGTCACCACCTCCCTTGTATTTCACCTGCCCTTCCACTCCTCCAACCAGCTCCATCACTTTTTCTGTGACATCTCTCCTGTCCTCCAGCTGGCCTCTCACCACTCCCGCCTCAGTCAGTTGGTCATATTCATACTCGGTGTATTTGCCCTGGTTATTCCACTGTTACTTATCCTGGTCTCCTACATTCGCATCCTCTCTGCCATTCTAAAAATCTCGTCCTCTGTTGGAAGATATAAGGCCTTCTCCACCTGTGCCTCTCATCTCATTGTGGTAACTGTTCACTATGGTTGTGCCTCTTTCATCTACTTAAGGCCCAAGTCCAATTACTCTTCAAGCCAAGACACCCTAATATCTGTGTCCTATACCATCCTTACTCCATTGTTCAATCCAATGGTTTACAGTCTGCGAAATAAGGAATTCAAATCAGCTCTTCGAAGAACAATGGGTCAGACTTTATATACTGTTAATTAAAAAGCCAATATTTAACTATTCATCCTGTTATGTGCCAGAGACAATGTGTGCTCTCACATATTTTCTCATTTAATTGTCCGATTGCACTGTAACATAAGGACATTTTACATATGATGAGAATGAGGCTCAAAGAAGTTGAGATATTCTCGCTTTCTATTGTCATTGGTACTTTAACTAGGATAAGCAGATATGAGAAGGGAATACTCAGTTCCAGAACAAGTTTAATTATATTTCACTGCTCTATATTGGTCATTCAGAAACTAACATGAAAGCAAAGATGCATCCAAGCTGAAGAGAGAAAATGAGGGCATATATCCAGGCTGTGCAGTTCCACGGAAAAGAATCAGAAAATCTATCTATCACTGCTCTCCTATTCCTGAAGATGACAGGCAACCTTACTCAGATCCATTCTGCAGTAAACTTCAGTGGCCCTTTCTGTTCCCTGATTTATTCTCTTAACCTGCATATTAAGATGTCTTTGTCTTTAATTTTTTTTTCTTTCCTTTGAGAACGGAACCTCCTTATGGCATCTCCTTCCTATGTATGTGG